TGCGACAAGGTGCAGTTGATCGACATCGGCGGTGGATTCCCGGGCGAGAGTGGAACGGACGTTGACAAGGTATATGAACATACACATACCTATAGTTACTATCCGATAACCATCATCTTACTTTTATTAGAAGTTAGATTAAAACGTTAGGCATGAAAGCACTATTATACAGACATAAAAATATCAAACAAAATGAGGTTTTTCAAGTTTCTAATAATAAAAAATCGATTTAAAATGGGCTTGTAACGCTAAATAAAGTTTTGCGACATCTTTATGCGCATATTTCTTTTTCGTTAATATATATTTATAGTAATTTCCGCAGTTCGTCAATATTATCAATGATGCGATACAGGATCTCGATCCTAGCATAAGGATTATCAGCGAACCGGGAAGGTACTACGTAACTTCCAGCTTCACTTTAGCCTCGTATTTACATTCCAAGAAAATCACTTCGAAGGACGGAGTAATGATGAGAATGTATTACATGAACTGTGGAGTATACCATTCCTTCATAGAAGAACTGTTAGGCTTGCGAGCTAGAGTACCACAATTACTTTTCGAGGTAATCTTATATTTCGTTTTCTTATATTCCCGCATGTACAAAAAGAAATTCATAATTAATAAGAAGCAATTATTAATCTATCGTCGTAGCGAATAAGCGAAGAGAAATTCCTATCAAACATATGGGGACCGACCGCCGACTCATATGATTTAATTATCAAGAATGTGATGTTGCCTGAGCTTCAAATAGGTGATTGGTTAATTTGGAAAGAAATGGGTGCTTATACACTATCCATATCCTGTACGTTCAACGGGTACCCAATACCAACTGTGATTCCAATTATTAGGAAGAGTCAATGGTATATTAAAAATGAAACGAGATATACAGAGTTTATAACATCACTATTGTTCTTTTATACAATATCAGTTAACTTGTATAAATTACATTATTAATGTTTTCCAGGGACGACTTTAAAGCGCAAATTGACTCGATGTAGGAGCCTGTTTTATTTTCAAAAATCCATTAAACAATATAATTTATTGACGAGAGTAATTTAATGAATAAATCCTTAACAAAATTTAAAGCTGTTCCAAAAATGGAGCTAAGTGTATTATAGATTTAATTATATGT